ATTAGTACTGTTTTATATATTATATATTTCTTTCATAATAACGATAATAATATAAGCAAACATTTTTTTTTTTTTGGTAAGTGTATGCTGATTTTAGTTGTCATTATTTTAAGAAACTAATTTAGCTACCATCACTTGATAATGCCCACAATTAAAAGAACATGTTTGTAATATACAAACAAGTTGTAATATAGGATAGAAGCTGAATTAAAGGCTAGGTGCTACTTTTAACGTGCAACCTATCACCATATTGAATTTTAAAGTAACTACCACTGTTTGCTGACTGATTTGTTCACAGCAACTGGGTCATTCCATGCGGTTCCAAAACACTTTTTTGCCCGACCCCCTTGAAATCGCCCAATACCGGTACTTTGCCTCCTGGGAGTTCTATCTGAGATAACCCCACAGTGAAATTTTTGGCTCCGCGCCAGCATTTTCTGATGAGTTGCAATTTATAATTTTCATAAGATTTGGCTTGGCTAAAAAACTCACTTCTGACAGACAACTGCTGATATCTCTTGAAACTCAACGTATTGGGTATTGAAAATCTGCTACCGTTAGATAGAGGAGAATATTCTCTTTCCAATGATATGCAACTCGATGATGTCTGGACTAGTGAGAGTTATATAGGTCAAATAGTGTGACCTTGAAATTTAACTAAAAATATCACGAAAGTATATATCTCGATTTTCGGGAAATTCACACCTCAGTTAGGACACGTAGCCCACATGATGCCCCTAAAGTTTCATTGTGGGCAAATGAAATATGTATCTTTTAACATTAACATCTTTTAAAAAAGAAAGGAGTATTTCGTCTCCATGTGGGCCCTATTTACTGCTACTGAAATAATATACAGTATATTTGAATTTGGATTCGTATCTTTTAACATATTAGCTGTTCCCTCCAATTAAATACTCCCTCTATTTACATACCAGAAGTGGACCCAAATGAAAATGTCCCGTCCAATTAATAATAATAATAATAATAATAATAATAATAATAATAATAATAATAATAATAATAATAATAATAATAATAATAAAATAAATAGTGAGTTAATTCTATTTTTGTCTATAAGAAATTGTTATAGGGCTTAAAATAAGATGATGTTTTGGTTTTTTTTTGTGTATATTGAATAACGATAATTTTAGTGGTGATGTTAGTAATATTTTAATGGAAAGTTGCTTAAAACAAATACAGGTATTGATGTCTGGATTTCGAAGAAATCCATTACTAAACATAATTATCATGAAGTAACTGTACATCCATTCTAAACATCTAATCTATTATTTCTTAATTTCTACTGAAAATCGATCGGAGATAGAAATGGTTCTCTTATAATTGATTATCGAATTAACAACATAAGAACCCATCGCAACTGCAATTTGACTCCACAAACGATTGCGTATTTTGTTACCAAGAAAGCTAAGTAAAACGTGAAAATTACCCAGAATGCAATTTAGTAACTGAAATGACTAATAATAAAAGCTTTAACAACATTTTGGCCCGACTACCAAGATACAAACGAACAATGTTAATTTCTCCTATCCAGATAAAAGCTCACGTCCTTATTTAAATAAAACAGAGTTTGAACTTGTGTTCTAACCAGGGAGCAGTGGTCACTGTTCCCTGTTGTAACATAACAGAAGAGAATATTTTGTTGTGTTGAGCATAGAAATTTAACTTTTGTTTTCCTGATTCCTCTTAATAATAAATTATAATATCGTAAGTCTATCACTGGACTTGTTGGAACACACCAGTATTTTTTTTATCATTACTGAAGAATACGTAAAACGGTGAAATAAGGCCTAAACATTGTTTGTTTGCCCTCCAGTGCCCGCCCCTAGCTCACGGAAAAATAGGGGCAGCGTTTTTATTTATTTATTTTTCTCTCAAATTTTTGTTCAAAAAATTTTAAAAAGTGATCTTTATTTTTCTCCATTTTGCACAAGAGAGTTGTCTAAATTTGGTGTCTGAAGTAAGGTATCGCCATTCTAGGCCAAATACGTTGCAAAATATCGATTATGGATTACTTTTTTTTAGTCTCATGAATACCCTTTGAAAACAAATAGATTTAATGTTAATTTTTGTAACAGTAAAAAAAAAAAAGAATTGCGCCCGCCCTTTACAATTTTCAACATTAAAGAGCGAACCGACAATATGTTTCAGCTAAAAACTAGACACAAAGAACATTTCTAGCTGTACAAAAAATAGTTCGTTGGCGTTCCCAGCACGGTATTGATTCTAAAAAAAGGGGGAAAAAGGGGAGTTTTTATTTCCCTTGTGGGGCCTGTTTACTGCCACTGAAAAAAACGGTTCTTGGTCGTCAGTAGAAACATGCCCTTAGACTCCCATGGATAGTTTTGGCAGAAAACTGGAAATATTCCTCTTTAAATAAGGAATAGTGATTTCAATAGTGATTAAATAAAAATAGTGATTTTAGTAAAGATATGTATACATGCTCCATATTGAATTCCGATTGTGAATATTGAATAAAAAATAAATAAATTGAGAAAAAGTGGATGCTGCATTTACGGTGGCTGCGTAGCCTGATTCGTCCATGGTGCCTGCGGTCTGTATACTACAGCATGCTTCAAAAAAAAAAATACCCCCCCACCCGGCACTGCAAGCTGATTTTGCTCATGTCCAAAGCCCACAGTCTGCCCACGGGCAGCGCACCCGACAAAGTGCACTGCCCGCGATCGGTATTGCATATAAAATGTTGTGTATGACTGCACCAAATCAGCGGGAAAAAAAACACTTTTGAAATAATCCTTAATAACAAAACAAATAATTTAACAATATTACACTAAAAATACACCACAACAAAACTACTACATTTTCCCTCTTTATTACGAAGAACACTGTCATCTACTTTTTATTCTATTTAAATCAATAATCAAAACACGAATTAAATAACTTTATAATCATTCGTTAATATTTAACATAATTTTACATTTTAGAATTTTTTTTTCTAAGAAATGTTATCTTCATAAATTACTGAAAAGAAATACTGAAGAAAATTATTCACTTATTTTATAATTATCACGATGAAATATATAACAACTCATTGCATAGGTTAATTGTTACAGCATTGCAGCTTAACTCCAACTTGTAAGTACGTAATGACAGTTGTAGGGACATTTAATTATAATGTTCTTTTCCAGGGTGTCAAACTAACTGCTGAACAGGGCCAGAAATAATGCGCTTCGTGGTATATGCAACAATACACTTCATAGTACATAGTTTACAATACTGTAATTGCCGCGTACTACACATCGTAGATTTGGCCAACGTTCTCGCATGGTCAGATGACTTCTCATGACGTCCTTACGTCATTACGTTCTACGTCCAACCGCTTCGTGCAATCGAAAGCTCTACTGTCGATCGGTTGTGACCATAGCAACAATATCCAAGGGCAGGACTTAGCAGAAAGGTCCATTACCAATATAGATTCTGAGGCATTCCTATAATCACGTGACCAAGTATTTCACAATCGTAGTATTAAAAAAAAAACATTATCAACTGTGTATAACAAAAATATTTCTGGAAATTTGTGATTACGAATTCATCGTTTGTTGGAATGTTAAAAAAAGAATGGAATCTCTAATCTATGCATTGTATCTACTTAGTTTATATATTATCATTGAATTAAACTATCCTGATTCCTATCAATGTATTTACAATATACAAACCAGTGTTAATCTCTATCATTATTCCATAACACATACAAATATAATGACTGGCGCCAGTTTAACTATTTGTAATATTTAATTGTACATAGCTCATTGCTTTATTTTAATTAAAATATCAAGTTATTTAGGATAATTCTTTCTTCATTCATTTTCTCTGGACGGAATTTATAAATGGGAATTTTTAGTGGACGGACAATGAAAATACGAATTATCACTTTGATTCCATAGTTAACATTTACTATATCATTAACTATACTATTATAACATTACTTAAGAAAACATTACTCAATACTGAATTAAATAAATTAAATAAGCCAAATCAATTATAAACTAATGAAAATCATACTTTCAATAACACGAGATATTCAGGCCTACTGCAGGTAGGCCTGAATCAATTATATCTTCTGTAGGTTCGACACCTTTTGGAAGTTGATAGCTTATTATACTTTTACAGTATAGGTATTTCAATGCAGAACACTCAATCACCAACATATTAAAGATCTACAAAACAGCATTTTTATTTTATTTATTAATGTAATGAATGTAAATCTCATGTCAGGGTCGCTGTAGAGGTCAACTAAAACCCAGTCACTTATTATCCCAAAGGTGTTGAATATTAACAATGTGTCGTCCCACAAGCCACTGGTAGCCACATTGAGTCGCTTCCTTGAACACGATGGACCAGCCGACGTCGTACAAGAGGTAGTCTACGTTGGCTGAATTTTGGACATAAAACTACCTCAAGTACAACATAACAAATCACATCGTTATAATTAAAAGCGAGCACAGTGCGACAAGAAATGATGGATGAATAGGCAAATGGTTTGAATGAAAATGAAAATAATAAAATGAATGATAAAACTTATATCAAAAGTTAGTTATATACCATAAAACCTCGAATTGAAGCCCAATGGGCTTAATCTCGCGAAGAAGCCCATCTCGAATTGAAGCCGCCACCTCTTCAGCTTGAAAAATTAGCCTAGAAAAGGAGCCGAACTCGAAAATGATAGCATAGGCTTCTTTTCGAGATAGTACAGTACATACACTGTACATGAATTTCAAAGAAACAAAATAAATTTAAAACATGCTTCATTTATATAGTAGTTTAGGTGATTTAATGCTGACTAATACACTCCATGATATATATTGATGTTACAGCCCTATTTATTGTTTTATAGTACTAATTCCCAAATTTGACAGCATTCATTTTGAAAAGAATCCCCCCCCCCCTTCACTTTGCAAAAGTGGCTTCGAAAAGAAGCCCATCTCGTAAAGAAGCCCATCCAAATTTCGCAAAAAAAAAAAAAAAAAAAAAAAAAAAAAAAAAGCCCATGGCTTCAATTCCAGGTTTTATGGTACTTTGTTATGACATGACCAGTTAAGACAGATCAGAAATATATGTTGAGTATCAAAAATGAATAAACTACTATGTACGCATGCCAAAAAGGATATTCATACTTATCCTTTAAAAGTTCTTTGTTGTCATCATAGAAAATCCTACTTTGTCAATTTTTGAAAATTTTATACTTTTCTCAAGTGACAGTTAATAAATATCATATAGTTTCATTTGATTTTTTTTTTTACTTTTCGTTTAAGAGTTCTTTGTCGTCAACATAGAAAATTTCTATGTCTTGAGTCAAATTATAAAGATTTAATATTTCTCTCAAATGACAGTTAATTAATAAATCTTACATACATTCATTTGATATACACATTTGAAACATGGGTACTGAATTACTTCACGGACATAAGCGGTAACCCTTTTTACACGTGCAACACATCTCAGAGAATCTTACTTTTTTCTGAATAAATTACATGCACAGTCTCTATGTACACAGCCCACAACCTAACGTTGCAATCGAAAGACAAATGATTAGAGTAAATACCTAGGAACAAAGATTATTATTTGTACGTTTTAGACCACTGAACAAAGCTACAAAGTGCCATTGCGCATTTTGGGAATTCATTAAAGTTTTCAGTCATATTACAGAATATAACTTTTGTAATAAAACATTCTAAATCTCATCGTAAATCGTATAATTAATTTTGTTTGTTTTATATTTGTTCAAATGTTTAGTATATCTTTAAATTAAATATACCATATTTGTGGTTGGTATATGCTCTCATGTAACAAATATTTGTATTTGATTTTGGATGGGTGAATAAATAAAGACACATAATAATATTGTCCGCAGTTGTCAAATTGGACGTTACATGGGGTTATTTCATTATTTATATGACATTTTCATATAAAGCACTGGTAAATGACAGGATTGAGATTGTACAACTGATAGCTAAACATCATTATGAATTCTTTAAATATCCAATAAAAACATACAAAATAATATTAAATATTATTATCATAATTATTAATGCATGATTGTCACAAGCCACGAGTAAATTTGCTTGAAAAAGTTTATCACTAAAATGAAAAATGCATGAAAAACGTTATGAAAATGAATATAATGAATCAAAAGAAAATACTGTATACTATATATAAAAAATGAAAGATGATCTACTCACTTAATGAAATAAACTAATTAATCACCATGAATAAAATGTTTTAATCAAACTAATCAAAAGCGATGACTAAAGATTTTGCCTGATGGAATGGATGGCATGCAGATGACAAAGATGTAGATAATCCAGAAGCTTATTTGATGTCACAGAGCAACGCAACACCTCGCAAGATCCAGTGATCTGGGTTCTGGGTGGTCTTCAGCTCCACCGATGCAATGTACGTCAGGTCGGTTCTAACAGGTTTCTTGTATATCGGACATTCGTACATGCGTGGGTCACGCCCACTTGTACTGTTGATAGCATAAATATGAATGACCGGTAGTGGTTCAAATAGAACCTTTGGTTTAGGCTCGATCAGACGGCATCCACGTCGATCCCAACTGGCGCCCTCTAGGAATAGTCCATAGACGTACACACCTTCGGCTGGCGGCTGAGAAATATCATCTTTGAGGAACCGTGTGACATCATTGTGAAGAATGACACTGTCAAGAGCCCAACCTTTGTGTGCACGAGTTACCTCCTACAAATAAATGTTCAATGGTTAAAATCTTTTTTGTTATGTATGTGCATGTGTGTGAAAAAATAAATTAAACAAACAAACACAATCGTTACTAGCATAAAAAGGTACTCTAATGATTAATAAAACAATGGAATGAGAATGTATTTTATATGTAATTAACTATTAAATTAAGCAGGAAATGCTTAAGATCAAAACTTAAGATGCTCAGCTATTAATTTAGGTTTTGCCACTGGTTATTGGATATTTTGTAGTTTTTGTACTGTATTAAATTGTCTGCAAGGCAATAAAAAACGATTGTTTTGAATGATTGATGATTTGGCTACCTGTCTCATTGCCGTCAAAAAGCCTTGCGGGTTAAAGAACCCTGTCATCCAGAAAGTGTTCGGTCGTCCATCAAAACACCAGGTGTGGAACTGAGCATTCCTCTCCAGTAACTCTGTGAACCAGAAACCCAACGTGGATGACTGCCAAGAGATCTTCAACCACACAGCCGGGATTCTGGCATCGTACATGCAGTCTAAAGCATCACGAAGATTCTACAAGAAAATATGAAAATCTTAGAAGTAAATCTGTTTCTGTCAGTTGCTATTTTTTGTCCTGTTGAATTCCTGAACATCAAATATTTTTTAAAAATCAGGAATGTAGATAAATCAATCTATAAGATTGCAAAAGACAGAAATAATTATAGGCACTAAAAAGATCAGTGTATATTTACCAATTTTCAGTAAGTGAATTGGGGAGTTCATTCAATATTCAATTTGAGAAGGTGCAATCTTAAGAGTCCAGTAATACAGGCTCTCATTAAAGTGTAACAATACTATTGTAACTGTCTATTCGTACCTCGAGGTCGGGGTTTCAATCCTTCTCTGCATTTCGCTTGTGCCCTTGAGCAAAGTCACTTTACCAACATTGCTTCACTCTACCCAGCTGTATCAATGTGTACCAGCAAATTATTAAATAGTAACCTGTGGTGGACTAGAGTCCCACCCAGGGTAAGTTTCAAATTCTCATCTGCTTTACACTACAAAAACTGGGGATAAGCTCCATCCCTATAAGCCCTGTGGCTCAGAAAGGATTCACTTTTATTTATATATGTTCAAATTGAAATAAAAGAACTGATAAATCAAAATACCTCGCTCATGATGATTGTGCCATCGATGGCTAGTTTAAGATCAGTTAGTGTGCTTCGAACAACTGCGATGACCCTCTGCATTCGGTCAATTTCTTGACGAAGGAAGATGTTCATTGGCTGTAGGGCACCCATCTTTTGAAGCCGTTGTTTAACCTGTAAACAAAATTTCGCCAAATGTTCAACTTTTTCAAAAAAATGTTCTTTTATGATACACTTGGGTCGACATTTGTATGTCGATTTTGAAACTATCATTTTATTACCCAAATAACACCCAATTAATTTTGAAATTGCAAAAGGTTAAAATTTACTTCAAATGCTAAGTAATCTTGAGGTAATTTTTCCAGCATGTCATCTGCTAATCTTTGTACAACATCCTCTCTAGTTTCACCACCACCTCCTGAGCTGTCTTTTGGTTGAATGCTTAGGATCGTTCCCAACACATCTTTTGCAGCATTACTTTGGTAACTATTGAGTGAAAAAAAAGATGATAACCATCATGATCGTAGAAATTTTAAAAAGTATTATAATCAATACTGCCAGTAGAATAAGCAAAGAATAAACAGTAGTTATAATAGTAAGGCATCTCAATCAAATCACAATGCAAATTGCAAATGACAATAATGTGTGTCTGTATAAATAATAACAAACAATAGCAGTAGCAACATTTTACTTGGTAAATTACCCACCAGCATGATGGGATTAAGTAAGCGAATTGTGCCAAGGAAAATATTCCCAACATGGAATATCTACATTTTCCTATTAAAGCAACAGTACTGAGGGTAATCAAAAATGTTATAGTGTATTTGTGTGCCTAGCTAAAATTTAAATTTCTTGAAGGAACAGTTCATGTTTTATTCTCTGTATTTTGTCATATTTTGATATGCATCATTGGCTTGGAAGTTACTATTATCATGTTTATACATCTTTGAAAGCTCAAAATAATTCATATTTAAACAATAATAATTACCATGTATTATTACTAGTACATAAATAAATTTTTCATCGGACTTTATCACACTTCAATTAATAGAAACCAATCAGAACTCACGTAATATCAGCATTAGGATGGAGTCCAAAAGCTTCTGGTGTATCTGAAGCAGGTAGAAGCTGGATGAAGTCAAGGTATTGAGCAATTTGAGTTCCCTTTGGTATCGTGTAGCCTTTGTAAAAGTTGAAGCTGTTACTGAACATCTGCTCACTAAACCAGACCTGCGAATAGGAAAATAGTGAGGTACTAAACATGAGGTTCGTACAAAGTGTAAAAATAGCTCTTTAGAAAGTCCGTAACACATAAATTATAAACTCTTGTAGTGTTACATTTGATCACAAAATACTGTAAGACCTGCCACAGGAATAATTATAATTATAATTGTTATTTGGTATTTATATATTGCTCTGTTTTCCTCTGATCATTGTGTCCAAAGAGAATGTGAATCCACACCGCTCCCACTGCACCAAACCACTTCCAAACATAAGCTTCAGATACAACATGACTGCTCTTAAGAAGAGTTGTACCATTTAAAAGCTACATTAAGGTCTACTGAATGTGCTTACCTTTGCAAATGTATTCAGCAAGCGTTTGTCAAAGTCGTCTGTGACACGCCCACCGTATTGGATCTCACCAATCATATATCGCACAGTGCTCCAGGACACTCCCTGTGAAAAAGCATTCAAAAATACATTGCAGAAAGCTTAGAAGTTATAGTCTGTTTTAACAACTTAAAAACTAATATTGAAATTTAAATAGCTCAGTTTCAATATTTAAATTGAACAAACAAGCAATGATGTTGTTAGTCTATGAGTTAAATAGATACTACATTTCAATTGAACATTAGAATAAATGAATACATATCTTTGCAAATTAATAAACAAAAAAATAACATTGTTTCTTATTTCTTTGAACAGAACTTTAAATGTGTCAATTAATTTGTGTATTTCAACAGTTACAATTTTAAAAATCAGTAATAAGAAATTGCTTCATTTTTTATCTGATTAGAAATTAACAGCTTTTATTACATTTTAATAAACAATTCACTGATGGATCCAGGAATTCCAATAGAGGGGTAAGGGTAACACTTTCACAGATGATTACGAAACCTCTGGATGGACTTAAATTTGAATATAATTTTCTTTTCTACATTTTCTTATAACTTTGAAAATTTCACATTATATAATTATTATTATAACATTTAAATAATTATTATCTCTATGAAATAATTTATAATATCCAGTAACCTTCTTAATATCCATATCATCAAGATGGTTCTGTATAAACTGTACAGTTGAGCTGAAATCAGCAGCATTGAACTCATACGGGATATTCCAGCCGAGTGGCCCAAACTTACGACGTTCCTGAAAAGAAATTAAATTAAAATCCTTATAGTCTACACAATTCAAAGATGGATAAAAAGATTTCTAAAAGTGAGTGTAATATCTTGTTATGAAATAAAAACACTGGTGGCTCCTTATAGATTAGACTAGACTAATTTTTGTAGGTGCTTACTTGTACTACAGTGTGGAGGTATGCGGTGGCATAAAGCATTGGTTTCCATTGCGGCATATTTGAGACTTCCAGTTGATCTTGCGTTAATCCAGTGTACGTCCGCTTCAGACCAGGCTTGATACCTTGCGGTGGTTCATTTGTAAACTTGATACACATCTATCAAGAGCGGTGGAAAGGTATAATGAAATCAACTACTAAATATTACAGTATAATAAAGTACAAAATAATGCAAATTACACAAATCAGAAGTGATGTTGGTAGTCAATGAGTTAGAGACCTGGATAAACCAACTTATTGGTTCTGTTGCTAAAAACAGTGCGAATTCGTCTATTTCTCCCCATATGTATTCGCGAAATAGGCTAAATCATTGCTTACATCCCAAACTAACACAATCAAAGTAGATTGTGTTAATTTGTTGAAACAAAAAATGCGTATCAAATTAAGTACTTTTGTATTCTTTATCTCAAAAAATCTGTAACAACAACAGCACATGTTTCCTATTTTTTCCTATTTTTTTTTCCATTACTAACACAATTTACTTTCATTGTGTTACTTTGTGAAGATGTGCTTCTAATAAAAAAATGTTTAAAAAAAAAAAAAAAATGAGCTGAATAAAATTGAACAGAAGGTCAACAAATCAAATATTGAGTGAATACCTGGAGTAAACTGATTGGGAATGAATTATGGACTTCTGTGGTCATCCAGAGACGGTATGTCTCATGCATCGTCTCTGTCTCTATCAAGCTGTCCATCACTTCATCCAGGAAGTCCAACGACAAATGGCAATTCTGCAGTAATACCCAGCCACCCTAAAATAAACAAGAGGACAGAATTGTCATATCATAGTCAAAGGTCATTTACATGTTTTTACATTAAACAATCTAGATTGATCAATTAATATCCATCCATACATCCATCCATCACTTCCATCGATCATAAATTCCAGTTCTACACTTCCACCTCTCCATTCATCACTTCCTCAACATCATTCATCAATCCTCCTAACTATATAACTATCCACCATGTCTTTTTACATCCAGCTATTCCTTCAACTCCAAATAACCTATCTACTATTAAGTTGTGTTAATGATCATTCTAGTCCTTTTTTTTCCGGTCTTTGAGACAACATGCTTAAGTGTCACTGCTGTATCAATCAAACTGTTTCTGCTGCGCCAAGCAACTTCCACAAAAAAGAATGTTTACACAACCACTTCTCCATCCATACATCCATCATTTTTTCTTCCACTCATCAATTGATGCATACAAATACAGTATCTATTATTTACTCAACCACTTATCCATCCATCTACCAACACATTAGGTGCTAGTCCTTTACAGTTCTATACCCGACTGGTCGGGTGAAGTCGAATTAGTGTTTGACATGTTAATGAAGACTTATGACCCATTGAACAACTGAAGGCTGCTTTACAGTGGAACAGGTACTACGTTCAGTGACCTTGCATGTTGGTAATAATACTGTATCAAGAACTCACTTAACAGTCATTGATTGTTCACACAAGAAGGTCACACACTGTGCAAAAAATTCTAAGGGAGATGTACACCTCATGAAATGCATTCAAATCTCTTGCACTTATCAATCCACCATCCATGCACTAATCTACAATCCCTCCACCTATCCATCCAACTGGTGGTAGCCACTGTGTGTGCTGTTGGTCTCCGGGTTAATTTCCATAGCTGCTCTCCTTGTATTTCAGCTGGAGGATTGAAATGCAAGTTAGAATAGTGCACCGTCTTTCCATTGATCCTGTGTGCATTATGGCCCATGTGTACGTTAAAGAATGCAGTACAGTACACTCTTTGGAATAGATTGAGGGATTGTCTCCTAGAAACAAGTGTGATTCGCACCAAAAAACATCCTATCCTATCTTATCCAACCAACATTTCCTTGCTAAGATTTTACTCACATTAGTCATAGAGTTGCTCATCAACCTTCTTGCATGCACTTCTTGTCCTTGACCCATGGAGATGGCACGGCATTCTATTTTCTTTTTCTTGGCCAGTTGTTCAATTCCATTTGTTGGGTCACTACCCATTGACAGGAAGCAAATTAGTGGATTTCGAGGGTCAGACTCTTCCCATGTCTTTTCCAGGTCTAAAATCACACCCTCAGCAAATCGCTCACCAACAGAATCAACTATTTTTTGAGGAAAGTGAAAAATAATTTAAAGAATAAATAATTAAAGAGAAACATTACCCTCTGTTGCAAAGATTTTTATATGCAATTATTACACTATACATCTAAGATGAGTTCACATAAATCAGCGGTGATGTTGACAGTTTATGAGCAAGTAAACTGATATATGCCAATTTCTGTTTTGTAGAACTTACAGTACCTCAAAACCATAGGCCTCTAATATTTGCCTAAATATATATTGATTCACTTAGGTTAGTTTTTATAAATTAGTCAACAAATTAAATTAAACTTCAAATACATGAAAATGGAAAATTTAGCCGGGCCCCAGGGAACCTGTGGCAGGGCACCACCAGTACCGAAATATAATGGACACATTGTACCTTATTCTCATGCAATGGTTAATCGAGGAGCAGAGCGATGCGACTCCAATTAAATGACAAGGTTCTCTTAAAATTACTTTCTACTTACTGATATATTTTCTGGCTTGATTGAGGGTTCTGTCAGGACACCAGGACCGTACCAGAAGGAGCCGATGGAAGACATCCAAGGAGTTCTCATAGCCATCTGGCACAGTTTCTTCCTCTGGTGCTTCCTTGTCAAACCAGTGTTTCCATTGCTTTTCATTGCGGCCAATCTGATTCAGGATGTCTAAGAAGTTTCTCAGCTTGCTCAGCTCAACTAAATTCAACCATGTGATGTCAAGAATCCACTTAGAAGGTTTTGGTGCACAAGCCTTCAAATCAAGAGATGCTCCTCCTGGAAAGAAAACAATGGATAAAATTAGGTCTATCCACCTATTAAAGTATTCCTAATAATAGCCAACACATAAATTAGTAAGAACTGACCTTTGATAAGGGTCATGAACTCTTCATGCTTGATCCGTCCCGCTTGCAGGTCAATTTTTAGGGTCAGCAGCAGTGTGAACATCATCTTGTCCTTCTCATACAGACCACGTGCAGCATACTTGAACACGGTAAACGTCATAAAGTCAATGATGTTTACAATTCGTTTACTTGTGATTGGACTTTTCTGTGAGCTGTTGATATTGATCAGAAATATATAATTTTTATTCTCATCCTGATTTCAGAACAGACAGTTTTTGTAATTTTTGGTGAGTTGAATGGCCGAGCGGTTAGCAGGGACGCCACAAGCTATAGCCATAATATCGGCGCTGGTTCGAACGGCACGCTCGCCTATGGTTCTGGTGGTAGAACAAGTCTTCTCGGATAAGGACTATAAACCGTAGGCCCAGTGTATACAATGGCTCGTGTGCACTATAAAGAACCCAGTACATCCATCGAGACGAGCATGGGATACCCCGGTGTACTGGGACAGACAGCCCCTGTGGTGGACGACGAGAGTTGCTGGTACCAGGTTACCGGGTAGCACAGACACGAAGGGACCCTTAGGGGCGAAGAAAGTCATTGGTCGAGTTCCT